GACTCATCAAGAACAGTTTGTTTCTTTCTTCTGTTGGACACAAATGAAGATACACTGAAACATTATGGGGAAAAACAGTCGTTGACTTCCATAGTAGGAACAAAAAATATCATGGATGTTAATGGCTGTTTCTTTTTTCACACATTCTTCAGAATATCTTGTTTAATGTTCAACAGTGGAATGAAATTTATAAGTTTCGAACCGTTTGATTGTCAGTAAATGATGAGGAAATGTTTATTTTATGCGTGATCTCCGTAATCAGGCAAGAAATCTTCCACTAAAAGTTTGCTGTGACTTCACCTCGGCACTTTAACTGCACTGATAGTTTAACACTTAGTTTATTATCATAGCATTCTTTCATTCATTCATTTTCTTTTCGGCTAGTCCCTTTAATTATCAGGGGTTGCCACAGCGGAATGAACCGCCAACCTATCGAGTATTTGTTTTTTGCAGTAGATGCCCTTCCAGCTGCAACCCATCACTGGAAAACACCAATGCAATCTCATATTTGCACACATACACTACGGCCAATTTAGCGTACCCAATTCACCTATAGCGCTTGTGTTTGGACTGTGTGGGGAAACCGGGAGCACACTTGCGCAAACACATGGAGAACATGCAATCTCCTTAACTGTAAAGTAAGATGAAAGTGTAACCCAGCGATCTTACTGCATCCAACCCGGTCTGAGCTCGGATTGAACTGGTGATTACTTGTAAGGGAGTCGGTTGCTTTAACAAGGAGGCTAAAGACCATGGCCTCTATCATCTATCGCTAGAGCACCTTTAGAGGTCAGAGGAGTGAAGTTTACCTGCATAGCATTTCACTAGCTGGCCTCCATTACAACCACCACCCTAAACCTCACTCCCATCCCGGACGATCCCCCACATGTAACCCACTGGTCCTACAGCACACAAGTCAGTCTGATCTGGGATCGAACCATGTCCTCTAGCGTCTGCCAGAAGAGTAAGGTTTACCTGCATAGCACTTCGCTAGCTGGCCTCTTTTACAAATGGCTCTGTCCTGTAAAATGATCAGAAAATACTGTTCATATTTTAAAGAAGTGGCTATTGTGTGACCTCTACAAATTTGGTCTCAATCAGTCAGTGCTTATTGTTGGCTTTGTACATGGCAGATCTTAAACGGCCTTGAAAGTATTGACTATTTATAATGTGGAGGTAAGCTCTTTTCTGTGATTTTTTGTTTTAGAATTTCTGGTTCATTTGCTTATTCCTAGTAATTGTCCCATAACAAATGCCAGTAAACTGTTGTGTACGTAAAAATAAAAGGAAACTTCATAAGTATTGGCAGGATATATTTTCATGGTATTTAGTAGGGGTGTCACGATTTCGATTTTTAATCGATTAGTTATTAGCAATAGTTAGTTAGTAATTTTTAATAAATTAGTTATGTTGACAACGTTCGTGTTGTCGGAAAAAAAAACACAGTTTGCAAGCTCTGCTATGTACGTATTACGGTTGGGATGATAGACGATGGGCACATCGCGATCCTCCGCCCTGCACCCGTTGCAAATCCGCTTGCGAAAAATACACACTCAGGCCCTGTTTACACTAATATGTTTTTGTTTTTAAATGGCATTTTAGAACGACAACGATCCACATCCACACTGGCGTGTAGCATTTCTGAGCAGCCCTCCTTCCTCTCTACCGCTGAAAACGCACATCACGTGACCACAAACACTCATTCACACACAGATACAGACACACACACATTGTCATGCGCTCGAGACAGCGGGTCAAGGCAGTCAGCGAGTCAGTAGACTGCTTCCATCTTTTACTTTCACACAAGTACTTTCATTTTATTTTAGCGAACACCTCAGATACTGTTGGCTGGTTTCTGTTGGTTGTGCACCTTTTTTACCGACGCCATTATAGCAACACAGATCACTGCCTATTCACGAGTCCCGCAGAAAAAAAGTGATTGACAGGTTGTAATTGTGTGTGTAACTTACCTTTATTCATTTACTGTATGATTTGGTTATGGGTAAAACAAAGACCATGCAAGTCAGGTAGTTTAAACGGTAGGCTACTAATAATTAATTTGTTATTAATTAATTAATTATTCATAATCGAAAATCGAATCGAATCGTGACTTTAGAATCGAAAATGTAATCGAATCGAGGATTTTGAGGATCGTGACACCCTTAAAATTTAGGGTGTGATATATCGTCATGTAATTATAAGGTTCTGTCTGTGGTTCTAATGATTTTGAGCTTTAAAGTTTTTGCATTCCATAGCAAACAGTATGTGTTTAACATTTGTTTTTTAAATAAAAAGTGTTAAAATATAAACAACTTCTAAAAAACATCCCATAATGTTAATAAGTTGTCATTTAATAAGAATGTCAATAACTGAATTTTGACAAAAATGTCAGATAGAACCTTATAGTTCTAAGGTGACAATATGATTTGGCCATTTTTGTCTACACTCATACAATTCCAGCATTGCCGTATTATGTGCAGCTGGCATTAATGCTGGGCATGGTGGTGGCCAACAGAATTATATCGAAAGAGTGGAAATCCACAGTGCTCCCCCATTTTTAGAGCTGGTTAAACAAGATGACCTCTGTGTTACATATAGAGAAGAAACGATTTAATGAAACTAAAATGGAAAATCTGGGGGTCCCTGCCTCCTTTACATAACAGTTGTATCTAAAGAATATTGGCATAGGTGTGATGTTGTGATTTCTATTCTGAATACATCTCCCTCTCTTGTTGTTTTATCTTTCTCCTTTTTGTTTTATATCTTAGGTGTTAATATGATTTGTTATTGTAGCCTGGCTTTTTTGTTTCTGTTGTTTTTTTTATGCACTGTTGTTGTGACAGGCAGTATGGGGAAACGAAAAGAAAATACAAGTTTGCAACATCAAACAACATAATAAGCAGTTTTTATGCCTAAAAATCAATGGAAGTGAATGAGACCAAAAGTCTCGAACCAATAAGGTTCCACTGGCTGCGCCATCTCATACATAAAAGAATAAGGTCGATAAAAAGACATGGAAAGCCCACCAGAAATCCCTGGGCTGGCATCACTAAATCCACAGTAAGCGTGCATAATTTCACTTGGTCAGTCACCCCCAAATTGAGTTTTCTTGCTAATGAATCAGAGCCCAGTTTGGAGAGAGTCATCCAATTATATGTCGGAGCTGCAGTCCCAAATCTTTTATTTAGAGGGAGACTGAATTTATCCCAGTTCTCACGCTGTCTCTGAAGGTGATCTCCTCTCTGCTTCTGTCATTAACTTGAGTGTGCTATCACAAAGAGTAGGATTACAAACACACATACTCTAAAATTCCCTCACTGATGTCAAACACACTCCATATGCCACTCTCAGTAATAATGATTCTTCAAAATAGCTTACTGCTTAGAAAAGAAATGGTCTGCTTTTTAATAGAAAGATTTTTGTTTAATTTTGCTGTAATTTTAGAAAAAAAAAGGTAGGTTGAAACTGCTAGGTTTATACTGCCCTCTTGAGGCCAAAGGGCTGCATCACCGGTGTACCAAACTACACTCACCGGCCACTTTATTAGGTACACCTGTCCAACTGCTGGTTAACGCATATTTCTAATCAGCCAATCACATGGCAGCAACTCAATCCATTTAGGGATGTAGACATGGTCAAGAAGATATGCCGCAGTTCGCCCAAACCAAACCTAGCATTAGTATGGGGAAGAAAGGTGATTTAAGTGACTTTGAACGTGGCATGGTTGTTGATGCCAGACGGCTGCTCTGAGTATTTCAAAAACTGCTGATTTACAGGGATTTTCACGCACAACCATCTCTAGGGTTTATAGAGTATGGTCCAAAAAAGAGAAAATATCCAGTGAGCAGCAGTTCTGTCAGCACAATATGCGAAAGGTCAGAGAATGGTCAGACGTTCGAGCTGATAGAAAGGCAACAGTAACTTAAATAACCACTCGTTACAAGTGAGGTCTGCAGAAGAGCATCTCGTCCAGCCTTGAGGCAGATGGGCAACAGCAGCAGAAGACGACATCAGATGTCACTCCTTTCAGCTAAGAACAGGAAACTGAGGCTACAATTTGCTCAGGCTCACCAAAATTACACAAAAGAAGATTGGAAAAACATTGCCTGGTCTGATGAGTCTCTGTTTCTGCTGTGACATTCGGATGTGCAGGGTCAGAATTTGGCATCAACAACATGAAAGCATTGATCCATTCTGCCTTGTATCAATGGTTCAGGATCCTGGTGATGTTGTAATGGTCCGGGGGATATTTTCTTGGTACACTTTGGGCCCATTAGTACCAATTGAGCATGGTGTCAACGTATCATGGATGTGCAGCCGACAAATCTGCAGCAACTGTGTGATGCTATCATGCTATCATGTCAATATGGACCAAAATCCAGTACCTTGTTAAATCTATGCCACAAGTGATTAAAGCAGTTCTGAAGGCAAAAGGAGGTCTTACCCGGTACTAGTAAGGTGTACATAATACAGTGGCCAGTGAGTGTCTACTGATTTCCGATTATTTGTGTGTGATTCTGTCCTGCCTTCAGCGTCACCCAAAGAGGCCGCTGTCACCATAGCTGTGGACTGACTGTCAGAAATTATATGAGGTAAGAGAAATGCTTTTTAATTTAAACTTCAAATATAGATTATTAATGGGTTTTTTGTTTTGGATTTGCAAGGATAGAGTCTCTGGACTGGGCCAGTTCTTGGAAAGATCTCAATCACAGGTTAAGCTGACGGGACCGTGGGGAGAGCGGGGTGAGGGTGAACACCTGCCAGAATGCTCAGTTTTCACCTGGAACACTTCCTGCAGCAGCGATCAGGTCTCCGCAAGCTCTCTTTTACTGATCAGGGTGTGAGAGAGCTCGATCAGGTGTCCCGGCTGACTGCTTCAATTCAGTATTTTCTGCTCAAATCTACCTTAGTGGTTTTCTGTTGAGCATTCTAGCTTTTCTTTTTTTTGGTAAGACACTGCTAAATGGATTAAAAAGGCAACAGAAAATAAAGACAATCAATATAATAGAAAATATTTGATTTATTTATCATCACTCCAGAATGTTCAGAAATGGTGTGTTTTCATCCCAGTGGTATCATGGAGAAGCATGATTTTAGAAGATCACTTTGATCCATCCATTAAACATGGATAAATACATATGCACTTAAAATACAGAGAACAAATCACACATGTACACTTGATTTGAGCTGGTCAAGTATTTTAAAACAAATGAATGAGGAGGGGGAGGTGGAGTCATATTGTGTGGAGTTGGTGGGCTGTCAGTCTGTGCCGAAATATCTCTGGCCGAAGTGTGTTGGAGCAACAGCATGAACTTCAGTTGTCAGTATAGTGATGTCAGGAAACTCCTGAACAATGGACCGTGCACCTACACACACATCATTATGGTCATGGAATAGTACAACAAAGACAATTAGACAAAAACCCCAAGCACTGCCAATTAAATAAAATGTACAATTGTATCTGTTTAATAACAACAAAAAAGAAGCCAAAAGAACTCTTAAAATAAAATATTTGAATCTGAATTTGTCCTGTTTGTGGTTGAGGTCATAAGTTAATTTCTCCAAAGGAAGAAAGACTGACAACTGAGAAATCCTCATGGAAATAGTTGGGGTTTGAGAAGTAGACCATTTTAGCAATGTACATTTCTTAGCCAGAAATGTAGGAGTTGTAAACAGAGGTTTGAGGTCTTCAGGAATGTCATTCAACAAAAAAAAAGAGAGAAAACGGTTTTAAAAGAACGACTTTTAATTGTGAAATAATTTCAATAATTAGAAATTAAAGTAAATTTGATTTTTTCATGACTTCAGTTTTAAATAAATGCAGTTTTGTTTTTCTTTTAGACACAATATGTTCAATTGTTAAATATAAAATAATACACAATTTTTTATTGTAATATTGCAACTTTTTCCAACATTTCAATGTTTACACATTGAAATACAGCCTTTTACAATCATACACAATTCTAACTACTACTTTATTTACTAAATATCCATTTTAAAACTATATCTTTTTTGAAACCTGCAGTTTTATGTATTATAGTTTAGATGTTTTTTAAAAAAAACTAACTAACGAAAATGTACATATCTAAATGTAAAAAATATTACAGTTTGAAGAGATTATCTACTCAGACAAAACATGCCAATCTATGGTATTAAGTATAAGTCTACCGATGTGTTTTTTCTCTTGGGAATGGCGATATTTAAAACTTGATTTTCTTTTTCCCCTTCATCAGTCAAAAGTTAAATAATAAGGTATGATACAGAAAATTGCTTAAATTAAACATTTATTATAAAAAAACAAAAAACAAAGCCTGTCTACTCAGTGGACTATAATGCACACTCTTTTTAGATATTTAACATTTATCAAATTAAACTGTTTAATCACAAGTATAAATTGCAGAAGGTAAAAATAACTGTTCACTAACAAACAGACATCAGTGTTATGGCACTTATACACATCATACAACATCAAGCTGCTTACAAATGTATCTGCACCTAATGAACCTAATTTGCAGCCCAATTAATCAGCTGACCTCTTATGTTAATCTCACACAAGTTATACAAAAACCTTTTTTTTTTAAACAAGCAATTGTATAAATGACTGAATCTATTCAAAATACTGACTTTTGGATTTAGAGCAAAGTTGAAATAGTTTTAGAAATATACACAATTTGTTACCAAGAGGGCCTGTACTACTAAGATAACTCAAATATACAGAGAGTTATTCTGAGAATATAAATGGGATCTTCACTTTAGGCAAGTCTTACCGTGTGGAGTAGAGAACAGACTCAGTAGTATGATATGTTTGGCCTGCAGGCCATGTTCAGTCAGCACCCGCACCGCTTCTATCACAGTGTTGCCTGTACCTGAAACACATAACAGTTATATTTTATTGCCAGAACTGAATTACATTCATGTAGACACAGATGGAACTGGGAATTGCAAAGCCTTTCCTTCCTTTCATTCACAAACTGTCCAACACTGTCAACATCAAAAATGTAGAGATGTTCATGGGTTGGATTAAAAAGGCAGTTCACACAAAATTACAATTTCCACATCATGTACTCGCACTCGAGTGGTTCTCAACTTTTAGGAATTTCTTTTTTCTGTTGAATGCAAAACAAGATATTCTGAAGATTGCTGGGGAAAAAAGCAGCCATTGACATCTGACTTACACAGTAGGAAAAAGAATACCATGGAAGTCAACAGCTGTTTTTTCCAACATTCTTCATTATATCTTTATTTGTGTTCAACAGAAAAAAGAAACTCAAACAGGTTTGGAATAAGTTGAGTAAATAATGACCCTTTAAATTTTTTCAGGTGAACTTCCCCTTTAATGCTTTGCTATAGAGGTCAAGTACTTACTGAGTATAGGGTACATGAGTAGAACCTTCCTCCTGCTGATGTCAGGAGGAAATTTTGCATAGTACACTTTGGCTTTTTGTGTCTCTTCGTCGCTCTGGATCAGGATCTTCCCAATACGGATTGATCTGCAGCAATCTCTCAGCCCTTGCTCCATAGCCTCACCTGTTCACATAACACACATATTAAAGTATTAGTTTAATATATTTTTATTAGTTTATAGTTTTATTAATTTATTAAAATTAGTATAATTCCTGTATTAATCCCTCACCCTCATATCAATCGAATCCTCTAAGATCTTTCTTCATCTTCAGTACACAAATTATGATATTTTAGATTAAATACATAAGCTCCCTCATCCTCCATATACAGCATAGATCTTAATTCCTGGAGGGCCGCAGCTCTGCACTGTTTTGCTCCAACCCTAATCAAACACAGCTGATCCAACTAATCAAGGTGTTCAAGACTACTAGAGACTATTAGGCAGGTGTGAGTTGGGGGTGGTTGGAGATAAACGGTGCAGAGCTGCGGCCCTTCAGGAATTAAGTTTGAGACCATTGATATACAGCAAGGGTCACAAGAAAGTCCAGAAAAGGAAACAATAACATTGTCAGGACTGTCTATGTGACTTCAGAGGTTCAACTGTAACATTCTAAAACGAATGTAAAAAAGACTTTGTTTACAGTTGAACCACAGAAGTTTCATGTGTTTCAAGGGTTTTTAAAAAGTTTTTTGTTCCGTATCTGGATTTGAACATATCAGATTTTATCTAAAACAATGTTTCTCAACCACGTTCCTGGAGGACCACCAGCTCTGCACATTTTCCATGTCTCCTTAACGGGGCAGACTTAGTCATTTGGGGGCCCTAAGCAATTTCAGATGTGGGGCCCGAGAATTAAAACTCAAAACATTTTCTGTAGATTAGGTTTTATTTTAATTTTAATGTTGTAAATAAACTGCATGTTAAAAATCTATTTTCTATACTTTAATATTTAAAGGAACATTTATCTACCTAATGTAAAATTAATGCAGTAATTAAACTTCTGCAGGATCGATGCTGTAGCTGCGTTTCATTGTTTGTCTGATTTCTACTATCCCAAATGTTCTCAAAATTCCCACTCTTGCACACTATCTACCTCTACCTGAGCTCTACTCTGATCGCTGGCAGATTGGCAGTGTGAACCACGGCGCTCACAACTCGCGCATGTGCAGTACGAAAGGAGCGGTCCATTCATTGGGGTCCCCAGTTTTGAAAAGAGGTAATAACGTTCAAATCTGAACAGTTATAGACGGCTTTTACAACACATGGTAGATAATTTAAAAAAGAGCTATATGATTGATATAGGCTTCTTGACATTGGTCTGGACCCCCTAATTCCTCGAGGACCTAAGCGGCTGCTTACCTCGCTTATAAGTCCGAAATTGCTCCTTAATCAAACACACCTGATTGAGATCATCAGCTCATTAGCAGAAACTGAAAGCCCTTCAAAGAGTGGCATCCAAATCATGCAGTGTTGGTGGTGCTCCAGGAACATGGTTGACCAACACTGATCTAAAATATCTTAATTTGCATTTCGAAGATCAACAAAGGTCTTGGAACAGCATGAAGGCGATTTATGACAGAATTTTTATTTTTAGGGGAACTAATCTCTTAAAGCACAGGTCTTGAACTCTTCGTGGAGGGCCGCATCTCTGCACAGTTTAGTTCTAATCTGTTTCACCACACTAAAGCTGTGGTCACACTAGAGTTTCATAATGCGAAACTCTGTCGTGCGGCGCTACGAAAAGGGGTGGTAATAAACAAGATTATTAGGCATTAAAAAAGCGAGCAATTGTTCCATGTTGTACATTTCTGTCCAGTAAGGTCATGTTTTGATCCTCGGTTGGTCTCACGCAGCCAAGTGATGCGATTTCGCAGGTCAAAGTTCACCAAGCTTGAACTTTGCACCGCAGCAACCTGCGAAATGGTCTGACGCATTTGCGTACGTATAAATGTAAGCTTTTTTTTTTTTTTAATTGATGCATATAATGGACAAGCACACAAGATTATATGATAATATATGTAACAGTCATACAAAACTTAGTAATGCAGAACATACATTAAACAAAAAAAGTGTAACATATATATAAGGGGATCCATCATATTTAAATTATTAGATTGTACAGATAATTTTTTCATTATTAGAGAGGTTTTTATAGCTTTCTTGTTTCTTGTAATTGAGGTCAAAGAATTATAAAATATTTGTAATCTTTACAGAAAAAATTAAAGGAGGGAGCAATAGACAAACTTCCCAAGAAAAATTATCAACTTCAAACCATTATCGAGTGTATCATAGCCAGTTTTACAATTCATAAATAGTATCATGCCTTCGTCAATATTAATTATTTTGTAAAATGAATCAAAAATCAACCCTGAAACCTGTTTCCAAAAGTCATCAGAAAATTTACAAGTAAGGGAGGAAAAGCCCAGTGTGACCGCAGCTTTGCCTGTAGGTTTCAAACAAGCCTGAAGGACTCAATTAGTTTGATCAGGTGTGTTTAATTAGAGTTGGAACAAAACTGTGAAGAGCTGCGGCCCTTCAGAAGCTGAGTTTCAGACGTATACTTTAAGGCAGGGGTCACCAATCTTGATCCAGGAGGGCCAGTGTCCCTGCAGTGTTTAGCTCCAACTTGCCTGAACACACCTGTCTGGGTGTTTCGAATATACCTCGTAAGACCTTGATTAGCTTGTTTAGGTGTGTTTGATCAGGGTTAGCGCTAGAATCTGCAGGACACCAGCCCTCCAGAAACTAGTTTGGTGACCACTGCTTTAAAGACATGCACATTAAAAAGTGTAGCATTTGTTTGTGAATAATTGAGACTCACCACTCCTCATGATGCTGACCCCACAGTTCCCCTTCTCGAACTTCACACCCTCATATTTATGTCCTGCATGAGGTGGACAGAATGTAAGTACACAAACTCCAATGTCAATGGTGGTCATGCTAATACACAAAGGAATTACAGTGTGCTGGGGAAGTCATCAGCATGCTAACCGGCTCACCTGTTGGCGTGGTTACAGTACATTCACTGTATGGAAGCTGATTGAGGCCTTCTTCCACAACTAATCTGATCTGGTAGCAGAACAAACAAACAAACAAACAAACAATCAAGATGCAGATTGAGGGGAGGAAGGGGGAGCAAACAAATACAAAACATGAGTCAATACTAATTTTGCGATACAAAAAAAACAATCAAGTTGATTCTTCAGTACTACGGTGAATGTGAAATGCAATCAACCATACATTCTCTGTGTTGATTGCAAAATTACTCGTGTGGGCTGCTTTTATTTACAAGGACAATAGCTGCTTATAAACCACAAATATGATATTTACACACAATGCTTACCAATCTGTCAGCACAGAACACAAAATCACCTCTACTGGTAGTTCTGAGACAGAGAAATGGGAAAAGTCACAAACTGTTACAATATATTTGACAATAAATCAAGCTTTCTTGTTCACAATATATGATATTATCAGGATATTGCAAAACAGTACAGATATAACAACAAAACAATGTCATGTATAAAGATGTTTATAGTAAAATATCTCAGATAAATGAAATTGCATAAGGAATATAAAGTTCAATAGGTAAAACTTTACAAGACCCTACTAGTAACATTACTTGATGCATTAGGATCTGTGTTGGGTAAAATGGTAATATATTAGAATTTTAAGCCTATGTAAAAACTAGGTTTGTCAAGATACTAGAATTCGGTACTAATCGATACTGAAATTTAAAAATTGTCCATTTCCTGCTTGCATTTGAGCTCTGTTTAGCACGTTCTTAAACACTGCTGATTTGCCATTGTATTCACATGCTCAACAAAAATGACTGATTGGCCGTGAAGGTCATCAGTTCACCGAACTCATCGCTGTTTACTGAGTGTAACCACAGATACAGGGACACTGGAGCATTTCAAAGTCTGTCGATCAGCTGGTTCGTCTATAAGCTGACATATGAGCTATCCACTGAATTGCCACGTAAAAACAATCTAAACGATCTATGTAGCTCAGTAAACAGTGGTGAGTTCAGTGAACTGATGACTTTTACAGCCAATCACAGTCATTTCTGTTGAGCTGCTAGAAGATAGTCAGGTTACGTTTATATGTTCTTCTTAATGCCAACTGTGTAAATAATCATCGATGAGATGCTTATGATAAGCCGTTGTTTGTTTACCTTCAAGCTT